CTCCCTTCGTTGTTGTGCTTGCAGAAGCGAGCAACAGGGCAAGCTTCTCGCTGACTTTCTCGCTGAGACGAGCTGAATAGCGAGCTTCTCACTTCACTTTTTCGCTGAGGCGAGCTGAATAGCGGGGACGACCGAATCTTGATTAAATCTTTATATTCTTAATTTTTGATTTATCTTCAGCCGGTTCTCCTTATCAGGTTAGTAGTCTCTCCTTGATAAAACAACCTGAAACAATAAAAAAAGATTAGAATCTTATCTAATTGTTGGCATTTTAATATTCTTTAAGATTTTATTAATTAACACCATAATTTTAATCATATTAATTATTATTTGTATTATTTTTGACATTAAAAACATAGTGCTTTGACACTTATCATGTCCTAGGATTATGTACCACTTAGCTATTTATAAGTTCACCGACTAAAACTAACAGTGTTAGTTTAATTAGTTTCTTTCTTTGTTTAACTCTAAAATTTTATATTCTTAACCTAAACATTTTTCTAGGAATTATCATATTTTAATTTTAATTTTTCGAGACACTTCACCGCTACGCATTTTATACTGTGAAATACCCTGTATCAATACGCAAAACCTCAGTCACTTAAATCTCTAATCATTTTAGACCTCCGAGTCATATAAATTTTTTGACGCATAAATATGTAATTTATTTCAGCTCTGAGTATTTTTCTATACCTTCTGTTTCTACAGCGGTACCCCCAGTATCATCATTTTTCACCGAAAATGACTAAATTCCACTAATTAATATTTCCTACTAATGTTATCATAATTATTTTGTTGTCATTAACCTTATAAAATTTTAGAATAATAATTGCTAATTATCTTTAAGTTTCAGGCAATTTGCCTACTTCATTTTTACCGCGAAACCCTCATTATTTATTATTTTCTCAAATAGGTGTTTTAACTTAACTTATTTAAAATAATTAAATCTTTCATTCAAAAATCCTCATTTAATAATTATTAAATTTCTAAAATTATAATTTAACGGTGCAGGTCCGTAAATTTTTATAATTTAACGGTGCGGGTCCTTACACAAACACTATCAAATGAAGCAATTAAAGGCTAAAATAAATAGTTGAGTTATAAAGATCGCAAACAAAGATTTATACTGATTTGATCACCACTGCATGTGATCTACATCCAATTTGCAAGTCAATTGATCAACCCTTACGCTATTGGTCAAGCTTCATGAGTGCTTGGCAAACCTATACAATCCACCAAGTTTTTGTACTTTGCAACCTTACAATTTTTTCCAAAATTTCCTAAGGTATTTAGCTATCTCTCAAAATCAATGGGTCTTACTATCTTCAATCAACAAGGTTTGACAGTAGGTAAGCACTCTCAAAGTGCATGTTGTAAGAACCTGCACCGTTAAATTAGGAATTTTAGTAATTTAATTATTAATTTAAGGAAGGATTCCATAATTGATGTCGAATAAATATGGGGAGATTTAAATAATTATCATAAGGTCTTAATAACGTTGAAAGTCTTTTTTTCTGACGAAAAGTGCAGATACCGGTTCTGCTTCATGGTATAAATGCGTACCGATAAAGTATCTTAAAAAATCATAATAAGTACATGAATATTCCTAGAAAAATACCTAAGTTGAGTAAACCAAGTTTGAAATCATAATTATGAGTGTTGATGTCAGAACTAATACCGGCTACGTGTAAAACGCGTACCGGCAAAGTGTTGCGAAAAATTATAATAAAAATATGAAAAATACTAGAAAAATGGCTAGGTTCAGAATATGAATTTTGAGATTAAAATGATTAGCGAAGCTATTAGTGCTAATACCGACGGATCAAACTTAAGGAGACTATAAATACTAAAGGACACAATTTTCTAGGTCAGTTTTTCATCTCCTCTACGTGAATTTCTGAGGCTCTTGGCTGCACCACCTTGTCTCCACCTTCAAGAGGCCACCTTTCCTCTTGATTCATTCACAAAATCTCCATGTGTGAGTGTGCTCAAGCCTTGGGATATTGAAAGGCAATGCATTTCTGAGTTTTAGCTTCTGTTTGGATGAGTGTTGGGGGCTGACTTCTTAGTGAGTGTTGTGGGAGCCATTTATTTGGCATTTGTGGCTTTAAGAAGCCACCTTTTGGTGTAAAGAACCAAACTTATGGATCATTTTCGTGGCCTCACTTGTGCAGCAAATTAGAGTGGTATAGAAACCACCAAGCCACCTCCTTTTTCTGAGTTCAAGGGTCCATAGGTAAACCATGATCACTTCCTTTGAAATTTTATGATTTTAGCTTGTTTGAGTCATTAAAAGAGGGAACTTTGATAATTCAAGTTAAGGGTTATTTATCTAGGCATAATAAGTAATAATGAAATGCTGTTTTGAGAAAAAACCGAACCTTGGACCTTGGGGAACCTTTGGGGTCGCAGATTATGCAGAAAAATTCTACAGAATTCTGCTCTGTCCGCGTGGTAATCGATTACCTTTCGTATGGTAATCGATTACCCTGTTTTTGGTAATCGGTTACCATGTGCAGTAATCGATTACCTCCCGTCAGAATGACCAGAAACCAGTTTTAATGCGTGGGAAAGTTTTCATTGGGGCATGATGCCCTAGGAAGTCAGTATTACTGTTGGGAAACATTAATACCTTTAATAGTGGGGCTTAATGCGTGATAATTATGAATTAAAAAGGATGCAAACGAAAGAGAAAACATTGTTTAATGGTTATGATATTGAGATTTCTGAATATTAAATTGTGTATTCATACGAACAGATTGCAATTGACGTGTTGTGAGACTGTTGGGTTGTATGTGTTTACCGAGCCTTTGGATACAGATTTTGGCACTACATGTAAGCTTTTGTGTCCTCGGTTTTGCCCATTGTTGGTTCCACCATACCTCATGGAGGGATGATTTATATGCATGCTGTGTTTTGGTATGAAAATATGTGATGATTATTGATATGCTATTGAGTTGTTTTATGAGTGCAAATGCCATATAATATATATGTGATGTTCCACCTAGATGGTAAACCCTGAGTATGTGGAGACATACAAGATGGTAACTCCGTGGGTGAGGTACAAGCGAGGAGCTTTGTACTGTAGGTTGTAGACATATGTAATCCCTACCTTTGATTCTCCGACCAGTAGGATACTTACACACATGACATGGATATATGCTGAATTGCACATATTATGAAATTATACTGCTGTTATCTTTTAGAACTTATATTGCACATGTAAGTGAGCTTGGAGTGGAGAGATCCTTGAGGACCCCTTGTCTTACTGAGATTTCTTTTTAGAGATCTCACCCCGTGTTGGGGCACATTTTCAGGTACAGGTACCTCGGGGGTTGAGACCTCTGGTGGCAAGAGGTCGGAGTTGAGCTGACTTATGAATGTTTACTATTTTATCTGTATTACATGATTATGCCTGATTCTCATTTATGGCTATTGTATTTTAGACATGATGATTATGTTATTTTATTTGGTGAGCATGAGGGTTGTCCATGCCACATCGTTATCAGACATGTTTGTTTATGCTTGAGTTGTATAACTGTATCTGGATATTGTCCGGTCTACGTGGTGTAGTTCCGTGACTAGATGCATATATATTTGATGAGGTTATTCAGTTATTTATTTATTGCAATTTATATACAGGCGATATTTTGAAAAGGAATAAGTAATCAACTTGGTTAATAATGAATAGTTCATAATTGGAAAGAAAAAATTAGCTTCCGCATTTATGTAGCTGCACTATTATCATATGTATGTTTAATACACCGGGTGCACACGGAGTGTTACACATGTTATATATCTTGAAGAGATAGATGAGTATATGACTTATAGCAAATAAATGACTCAAGAATCAAATGATCAATAACTAGTGTAAGCAAGTTAGGTGAGAGAATCAATGTTCAATAAAATATGAAACAATGTTCTTGAAGTTTTAAAGTCTACACAAACAAGTTTATGTAGGTTATCAACAAAAACTACTTGTTTATAGTCGTCGAAACCTTTTTCTAAATAATTTATATCTGGATATATGTTGAGAACATATTTAGATATATAACCCCTTCATATTCAGATATATGAAACCTCATATTCGAATATGATGTTAGACATATTCAGGTATATCTTGGCAGAAGCATATATGGTTCAAAATTTGATTCCTTTTGGTCCAAAATGATTTTAAGCAATGTCATCACATGTAATTGGACTAGGAAAACATTTATTTGTTCAAGTCATATAAAAACTTTTCCAATCTAATTTTGAATCTATTTTTCTTATCACTTCTTAGAATTATTTTTGTTATTGTTGGATCAAAATCAAATTAACGATTCTTACTTATGTGATTTTATTAAATTATTATTTTAAAATTATTTTATACATATATTTAATAATATCTTTTTAATATTATTGAAAAAATTTAAATATTTAATAATTAATATATGCAAGTTCATTAAATAAAGAGTTTGATGTTTGTAATTTTAAATAATATAAAATTACAAACACAAAAAATGAAAATAATGAGGAGGAAGTGAGTGATTTTCTTTTAATTTAAATTTTAAATAAAAAATTTATTTTGTGTCTATCTCTCTCTTAAAATGACATAACTTTATGTCATTTAAAGTGACAAATACTTTTTCTTTAAATAAAATATGAAAATGCTAATGTCATAATATTGTCATCAAACTCAAATGATGTAAAAATTAGTCTAACCGCATCCATGACCGGAAACCAAAGATTATTCAAGTCAACCGTAGAATTACCATCGCTAAGTAACTAAATCAGAGTGCATTCAGACAAAAACTACCTCCCTAATCTGTAAGAGTAAGAAGAGCCCCATTCATATTTACGAAATTAACCAATTACTGTATCTCATTTTTTTTTCATGTTTATTCCTTCTTCCCCTCGTGGCTAACGTTTTACGTTACGAACTTCGCGTGAGAATTTCAACGCACCACACACACGAACGAGGTTGATTTCAGATTCCAACAAAAAAGGAATTGCTGACGTGGAAGCCTCTTATTGGTCCTATTCGAATCGCGTTGAACTTCTCATCTCCCCCTTTTCTCTTCATCTTTTCGTCTGTTGGTTACTTAGGGTTGGCTTCTTTCTCTCTCCTTTCTCTCCTCTTTCCCGCTCGCCGGCCGTCGGTGACGGGAATCCTATTTTCCGATCATATTTCCGGCGGTTTCAGTTGAAGCTTTTCTGGTTGCAGCGATTGGAGCTGAAAGAGAAGATGGCAAGTCAAAGCGGTTCCTCTCGAAGGAGTTTTTCGTCAACGAAGAAACCTTCTGACTCTACTGCTCGAAAATCTCTTTCCTCTTCGCGCCCTACGTATGTTATTCACTTGCTCTAGCTTTATTGCTGATTATTTATATATGCTGCTGTAATCTATTCTTATGGTTCCGGGGTTTAATTGAATGCTGGATTTGACTCTTAATCCTTTAAATTCGTTTTTTTCTTTTTTCTTTTTTCTTTTTAATTTCCTATGGATGGTGTATTTTTAAAAATAAAAATATTTTATGTTGCATATATCTGTTGATTTCGTCTGCTCTATTCTTTAACTGCTAAAGCAACTTAACTTGGAAAAAGTAGTTACCTTGTACTCATAATAATTTGAAATATTATAAATTTATGGCTGTAGCTATTCTCGTTCTTTTCCTGTGATTTTCACTTTGGGGAACAGATATTGAGGTTGTTCGGTGCCATAATTGCAAGTGTCATTATTTTTCAAAGTGTCAAAGTCAAATAAATGTGGCCCTGCAAAGTCTTTTCTAGTTGGTTGATTTACAATGATTCTAATAAATAACTCGGACTTTGATTGTGGTCTGGTTTGGGAAAAGTTTCTTTGCTTCTACTATCAGCTTCACTTGATTAAAGCACTTCTTTGCATGTCGTTTTCAAAGAATTCTAACCAAGCAGAAAGTATAAACAAAGTGCATTCTGGAATATTTCATTGTTTCTACTAAGTAGGTGTACTTTTTCTGCCAGTGAAGGTAACTTTGTATTTGATTCTGGAATATAAACAAAGTCCATAAAGGAATTCTTTTTTGGACACAGTCCATATTTACTTTGTATTTGATGACTGCACAGAACAAATCTGGTCCGTTGAGTCCACAAAGTGAATATGGACTTACAAGAATTTCTCCTCTTCTCCCTTATAAATTTGATTGTCAGTTACAGAGAGGTATATGATCATGCCATGGCTATCTGTATAAGAATCTGTATTATTGAATCACATATTTTATAACAGATCAGTTTTTGTCTAAAAGGTTGACCAGAGAAGCTTGTATACATTTCATGAGTTGTTAAATGTACTCAATTAAAGAGAAGATAAGTCAGTGAAGGTTCTATCAATTTAAATCATGGGATGATGCCTTGTTTCTACTTGGAATCGGAACAGGGGATTAACGGGAGAGAGGACAGTGAAGTCATTGCGACTTTCAAAGGCCCTAACAGTACCTGAAACAACAACTGTCTATGAAGCTTGCCGTCGGATGGCTGCCCGTAGAGTGGATGCTCTATTACTAACTGATTCTAATGCTTTGCTCTCTGGAATCCTCACGGACAAGGTATGGCTCAGACCTTTTTTTTTTCATCAATTAAAATGAAGAATAGAAAGTTTTGAGGCTATTTATTTATTTGCAATTTTAACATGCATAATTTGCTCTCTTGTTTTGTGGATAAAGGATATAGCAACAAGAGTTATTGCCCGAGAGATAAATCTTGAAGAGACACCTGTTTCCAAGGTTATGACAAGGAATCCGGTATTTGTCCTTTCTGAAACTCTTGCTGTGGAAGCCCTCCAAAAGATGGTGCAAGGTTGGTAGTGTATATAGAGACACAATCAACTTTTCAAGTTAGTTGCTATCTGTATCTTGCTTTTTGAATGCATGGCTGATATATGTTGACAGGGAAATTCAGACATTTACCTGTGGTGGAGAATGGAGAAGTTTTGGCTTTACTTGACATAGCAAAGTGTTTGTATGATGCCATTGCCCGTATGGAAAGGGCAGCTGAGAAAGGAAAAGCAATTGCAGCAGCTGTTGAAGGAGTTGAAAAACACTGGGGAGCATCTGCTCCTGGTTTGTAGATTATTTCCTTTTCACGTATAGCTTTTTGATTTCTAATGATGGCATCCTAGGAAAATATCACCGTTGTAGTTAGGTTCACAGTTTCTGATAACTAGGTTTATTTCATGCTAATTTAGTCTTTGTGCAGACTCCAATTCATCATTCATTGAGACTCTTCGGGAGCAGATATTCAAGCCATCATTGTCTACTATCATTCCTGAGAATTCAAAGTAGGTAATAGCTTCTTTTGTTTGAGTTAAGTAAAAACTACTTCAGTTTTAATTTGTCTGCATGTTTTGGTTACCACCCAAGTTACTTTAACAGATAGTGGCACTTTTTAGGGTTGTAACAGTTTCACCAACAGACTCGGTTTTGACAACAACTAAGAAGATGCTTGAACTTCGTGCAAGTTGTGCTGTTGTGACAGTCGATGACAAACCTCATGGCATTTTTACGTAAGTTTGTAGCCATTGTCGTCACCAGCAGTTCTCTTTTTCTGATAAGTTCCTTTTGCCTTTATACAAAATTTGCTCTCACCCCATCCTCATTAGTCGGGATTTAACGGGGAGTGGTTTTGGTTTATGCTTAGATTAATTTTGATAGATTATAATCTGCCTACAAATTTCAGTTCAAAGGATATCTTGATGCGGGTAATTGCACAAAATCTTCCCCCTGAGTCAACTCTTGTTGAGAAGGTACTTTGATTTATTTGTACATTGTTTACAAGAAATTATTTACTTTTTCGTACTTTCATACCTTTTCCGTTCTTATATTTTGTTACATTTAGATCTAGTAATCTTTAGGAGCATGTTTTTTCTACCATGTTGGAAAAGAAAAAGTGGTCAATCTGAGGGTTCATCATTTTCTTGTCCCTCTTATTTGATATATATGTAACAAAATATGCAGGTCATGACTCCAAATCCAGAATGTGCAGTAATTGATACACCAATTGTTGATGCACTTCACACTATGCATGATGGAAAATTTTTGCATCTTCCTGTGGTTGATAGAGGTAATATAATGATATATGGGAAGGGGAAGAGGTTCATGCATTATTATTTTTTCTGATTCAGGTTTGGGTGGTTGAATACAGATGGCAGTGTAGTTGCTGTGGTTGATGTGATTCATGTCACTCATGCTGCTGTGGCGACAGTAAGTAAGGTGTGTTATCTTAGACTGTGTTGTACCCACTACTGTTGATTAGACCCTCTACTGAATCCTTGTTGCTTAAAAATGGGATAAAATGGCTTTATTTATGTACAGCTTTTAGCATGATTCTGGTCAGATAAACTTTGTAACTTTTCATGTCCTTGATTTGGTTTTGTTTATATTGTTAAATTAAATATAGGTTTGAGAGTACTGTCTATAGTAGTTCTACAGTCTGCATTTTTGTCCTAAACCTGGCAAAATACTAATGGTTTTTTCAGTCATCACCCATTTATTTTAGCTTCTTGGAAATGTAAGAATCTGGAAGCTTCATTGTTCACCAGCTACAAATGATTGATCTTTTAAGCGCACTTTTTCCATTAACTGTGTGTTAAACATAATGGAATTGTCAAAATCCTTACATATATGGTCCCCTTTTTAGAAAGTTTAATTACATGTCTCAACTCATATTTGTCGATTCAGAAAAAGATTAACTTGTTTAATAGTTTATCACTTTGATGCCTCAAGAAAATTTTTCTCTATGTATTGGCAATTTCGGTTCAATGGTAGCCTAAGTCACCACCAAAGGTAAGAAATGTAGGTTTGTTTCTTCCCTCCACTGTTAGCGACATGTAACTGAGCTCCCTATGATCTATGTTGCATAGATATGGGAACCCAGATTGGATAGAATAAGCAAATATCACAAAATTTCAGAAATATAGGATATGGTACGGTGGGATGGAATCTGTGGGATATGGAAGGGCAAATCTCGATCCATAAGGCTTCCTAACTTGTAAGGGTAGAGGTGAGGGTCGATTGTATGCAACCTTATCCTTGCATTTTCATTAAGAGACTGTTTCGAATTCGAACCCGTGACCTTTCGTTCACAATGAGCAACTTTGTCCTTGCTCCAAAAAATTGTGGGATATATAAATAAAATATATATAAAATCCCAAGATCACTAAGCTTTTGAGTTTGCGTTTCTTTCACCAAGAGATTAACACACTCCCGTAGTGGAGATGAATCCCTCTGTTCAGAAGATGCTACTATTGTAGAGGAAGAGGACAACATACCTTGCAGTCAGAAAACAATGCAATTATAGACCTTGACCAGGGTAGCAACGGATGAGCCAAACTGGGAACTCAAGCTGAAATTAAATGCTAGCAACCCAACCACTGATGCATAAATAACAGCAATCCCTCCTAAGGCTCAATCACAGACCTTGCTGAAGGGAGCAATAGATAAGCCTGGAGGCCAAGTAGAATTCATTGGGAACCTAAGCACTCGAGCAGATAATCCAGAGCAACAGGAATATGATGTTCTTCCACAAATAGTGTAGTGAGGAGGCCTCAAAATAGCAGCATTCAACTTAAAAATAAATGAAATAAAATGGAAGTCTTATGGTTCAAATCCAAGCAGTATTGCGTGTATCTGTTAAAGACATGTATTTGTGCATCATAGCCTAAGACCTAAATAAAAAGATTCAAAACTATATTTTCGCAAAAAGGATATCATTCTAATTTCTATCATTGATTTGTCTACTAACCAGGGTTAGAGCGTACTGATGATGTTAATTGTGAATTGGCAAACACTATGAAACCATAATTCCTTTTCTATAAAAGACTTCTGTATTTTTTTAGGTAACATTTCTAATGATGGTATCATTTTGTCCCACTAATTAGGTTGGAAACAATGAAGCTGCCACCTCCATGATGCAAAGATTTTGGGATTCAGCCATGGCCTTAACTCCAAATGATGATGATGACGAAACTCGAAGGTTATATGCATTGAAGTTGTTTGGGAAAATATTTTCAGTTTTTAATGTACTTACATACTGTTGATTGTATAGCAGTGACAGTTCCTTGAAATTGGCTTCTGAGGGAGGAGAAACAGGGAGATCCCTTCCTCATCTTTCATCAAGCATGGCCAATACATTTTCCTTCAAAATACAAGATAAGAAGGGCAGAATGCACAGGTTCACATGTGGTATGCAAACTATCGCATGTTATCAATCAGATCTTTGTTTGGTTTCCCTTCCATCTGTCACAGCATACAAATGATGGTTTCAATATATGCTTGCATCTAGTCCTTTCATGAGTCTCACTTGAATATGACTGAGTTGCATCTTGCATTTACATTGATAGGCAGCGCTGTAGTAATAAACCAATAAGCAAACTTGTCTGCTTGAGTTTTTGTTTTGAATAAGTAGTGGAACTTTTGTATTTTTTGTGTGTGGGGGTATTAGTGTATATACAGTAGAACTCTTTACTTTAGTCACAGCTACTTATTTGTATAAGTTGTTACAGCTGTCAACCATAAGCTGTTACAGCTGTTAGCCACTGTTACAGCTGTTAGCCATTTAGTATATAAATGTTAGCTTCATTTCTCTCTCTGTAATAATGATTCATTTGGTTCAGATTCAATAGAATAATGCTTTCTCTTCATCTCTTTCTCTCTCAACCTTTTCTCTCGCTTTCTCTCATTTTCTTAAGCTTTCCTTTAATGGATCTCTTCTAATATGGTATCAGAGCTCTCTCTGAGGGCCTGATCCGTTTAGATCTCTATCATGTCTTCTGCTTCCGACTCTGATTCGAACGCTTCTGACAACTCGAACGCATCACAACCTAGATCCAGATCTCAACAAAAGTCCACTTCAATGAAAATCAAGACAGCTTCTCTCTTCAATCTTCAAATTTCTGCAAAACTTACCGAAGATAATTACCTTTTCTGGAATCAGATCATTGAACCGGTAATTACTTCACACCAATTGCATCGTTTTCTTGTTAATCCAAAAATTCCTCTCAAGTTTGTTTCAGACGAAGACAGAGAGAATGATATTCTGAACTCCGCTTATGTCGATTGGCTCAATCAAGATCAGATGCTACTTACATGGCTCCTATCCACTATTTCTGAGTCTACTGTAAATGATATTCTACCTGTGAAGCACTCCTTTGAGGCCTGGGACAATATTCACAAACTTTTTCATGGAGTCATGAAGTCTCGAGTTCGTCAACTCAGATCTGAGTTGAAAACTATGAAGAAAGGCTCGAAGACTATTAAAGAATACTTAACACGTATCAAAACACTATGTGACTCGCTCAAGTCGATTGGGAAGCCTATTTCTATTGAGGAGCACACTGAGACTATTCTTGAAGGATTACCATCAGAGTATACTTCTTTCGTTATGATGATACACGGACGAGAACGAGACTGCACTATTGCAGATCTAACAGTGGAGTTACTAGCTCATGAACAGTTGTTAATCAAGCAAAACGATACTCTGTTGACTGAAGGAGCAACTATAAATCTCACTCAGCGTCTTCCAAGCTCAGATCGAGAAGTTATAGATGAAGAAGAAGACTCTGTTTCTGAAACCAGAAAACAGAGTCGAACAGAGCATCAAAACTTCAGTCAGTTCCACACCTCAAGTGGTCAGAATAGAGGACGAGGACGTTCAGGTGGAAGGTCTGGTCGTGGAAGAGGACGAGGCACCAGAACACATGTCCACTGTCAACTTTGCTATAAATTTGGACATGATGTTAGAGATTGTTGGCATCGATTTGAAGAGAATTTTGTTCCGAATCTACCTCCACCACAAAACACTCCTTATCCTCACTACTTTGTTCATCAACCACCTCAACCAGTGAGGTCCTTCCAGTATCAACACCAGCAATCTCAACCAATGAGATCTTTCCAGTATACAAGACCAACAAGTCAGTCTCAGCCTCAAGCATACTTTGCTGCTCCTTCTAGTCTACCTTCCACATGTAGTTCTCCCCCTCTGGTTGAATGGTTACCAGATTCTGGTGCATCAAGTCATGTAACTGGTACATCTCAAAATATTATGCAAGGCCAGCAACTTAGTGGTACTGATCATGTTCTGATTGGAAATGGACAAGGTCTTCCTATAACAGCTACTGGTTCCTCCTCTTTTCAATCTCCTTTTGACTCTAACACTCACCTGCACCTTCAGAATTTACTTTTGGTTCCCTCCATTACTAAAAATCTTATCAGTGTTAGCAAATTTGCTAAAGACAACTCAGTTTTCTTTGAGTTTCATTCTGATGTGTGTTTTGTAAAATGCCAGGTTTCACATAAAGTCCTCCTTCAAGGTGCAGTGGGTTCTGATGGGTTGTACTATTTTCCAAAGTTGAAGCTCTCCAAAAGTCATACTTCTGCAACCAGTAACATCTGTGCTAGCTCTCCTGTGTCCTCGACTATCAACAAGTCTGTTAATGTTGTTAATGCTGTTAGTCCAAATAGCAAAACACATAGTCATTGTTCTAGAACTGTTTCTGATATATGTAGCCCTTCTAGCTCTTTGTATTCCTTATGGCATTATAGGCTGGGACATCCCCACTTTAATTCCCTTAAAGTGTACTCAAATCTTGTAATATACACATCAATAATAAATTGGCTGAATTCTGTCCTTCTTGTTGTTGTGCAAAGTCTCATAGACAACATTCTTTACCATCTCATACAGAATACAAAGAGCCATTCACTCTTGTTTTCAGTGACTTGTGGGGACCATCACCTCTTAAATCCACTCTAGGCAATGCTTATTATATCTCATTCGTTGATGCCTGCACTAGGTACACATGGCTTTATCCAATAAAGCAAAAATCAGATGCAATAAGCATTTTCAAACAATTTCATGCCATGGTGACCAATCAGTTCCAACTCCCTCTAAAAGCTTTACAAACAGATTGGGGAGGGGAGTTTAGAGCCTTTACTCAATATCTTAACTTGCAAGGAATAGCTCATCGAATCACTTGCCCACATACTTCTCACCAAAATGGTGTTGTTGAAAGAAAACACAGACATATTGTAGAGACTGGTCTAGCCCTCTTAGCTCATTCATCTCTTCCAATGCAATACTGGGACTATGCCTTTACCACAGCTACTTACCTTATAAACAGACTTCCTTCCTCTGCTATCAAATTTGAAATCCCTCACATTAAGTTGCACCATCAACAACCTGATTACAGCTTTCTTAGAACCTTTGGTTGTGCTTGTTTCCCTTTTCTAAGACCTTACAACAAACATAAGCTTGAGTTTAGATCTCAAGAGTGCATTTTTCTTGGTTACTCTATCAATCATAAAGGCTATATTTGCTTGAGTCCAGAAAACAGAATATTTATATCTAAAGATGTCCTATTCAATGAATACAAGTTTCCTTACACAGAATGGCATACTAACAAAACTTCTTCTGTTTTGCACCAGTCTACCTCTACTTCTACTTCTGTTCCTCTAACTATTTTCCTTCCACAAACTTGTCCAACCAGCCTCACCACTAATTCAGCATCATCTATTAATTCCTCATCAACATCTGTTCCTCACAGTGATCCTTCTTCTGACTCCTCCAACATTTCTCTGTCAGCAAACACTACACACCAGTCTGGTCATTTCTCGAATTCAGCCACACATTTACCTTCTTCCCCATCACCTTCTGTTCACACTCCTAATGTTTCCAGTCAAAACACCAGCTCTAGTTCTGGTCCTGAATTATGTTCCTCTGAGTATGTCCCATCAGGTCCTCTGCACCCTCCCTCTCCAACACACTCTATTATCACACGCTCTAAGGCTGCAACCAGAAATCTTGTTCTCCTCACTCATTCAGAACCCACATCAGTTAAGGGAGCCTTGACTAGTCCTCACTGGTTTAAGGCAATGCAATTAGAATATGATGCTTTGCAATCTAACCACACATGGTCTCTTGTTCCTTTACCACATGGCAGGAAGGCTATTGGGTGTAAATGGGTCTTTCGCATCAAGGAAAATTCTGACGGAACAGTTAACAAATACAAAGCCAGGCTTGTTGCCAAAGGCTTTCATCAACAGCAGGGCTATGATTACAATGAGACTTTCTCACCAGTTGTTAAACCCACCACAATCAGAATTATTCTCACTCTAGCTCTCTCTTATGGCTGGCCCTTAAAACAACTCGATGTCAACAATGCTTTCCTTAATGGAGAGCTTGTCGAAGAGGTCTACATGACACAACCCCCTGGATTTGAAACAGAGAATAAGAATCTAGTATGCAGATTACACAAAGCTCTTTATGGGCTAAAACAAGCCCCTCGTGCATGGTTTGAAAAGTTTGGAACTACTCTTCGACAACTTGGTTTTTACTCTAGCAAGTGTGATCCCTCTTTATTCATTCTTCACTCTAATGGGAGCTGCATATATGTATTAGTCTATGTGGATGATATCATCATCACTGGAAACAACTCAGCTCTAATTCAACAGATCACTGATCAAATGAACTCTCACTTTGCTCTAAAACAGTTAGGAACCTTGGATTATTTTCTGGGTATAGAAGTTAAGCCTCTTTCTCATGGGAGACTTCTGTTATCTCAAGGTAAATATGTGAAAGACTTACTGTGCAAAGCTGGAATGTCAGATGCAAAAGGTATCTCTACTCCTATGCCTAGTGGCTGCAAACTAAGCAAGCATGGGGGGAATTATGTTGCTGATCCCTTCCTCTACAGATCAATAGTTGGTGCCTTGCAGTATGTTACCTTAACAAGGCCAGAAATTGCCTTTACCGTAAATAAAGTTTGCCAGTTTATGTCCCAACCATTGGAAGAACATTGGAAGATTGTCAAAAGGATTTTGCGTTATCTCAAGGGAACATTGTCTCATGGTCTTCTATTTCATCCAGCCTCACCACACCAGCCTCTCTCTCTTGTTGGGTTCTGTGATGCAGATTGGGGGGCTGATCCAGATGATAGAAGATCCACATCAGGTGCTTGCTTATTCCTTGGTTCCAATCCCATTTCCTGGTGGTCCAAGAAGCAGTCTGTAGTGGCAAGATCTAGTGCTGAGGCAGAGTATCGTAGCCTAGCTCTCACTGCAGCAGAAATTTTGTGGGTTCAGACACTATTGCAAGAACTTCATGTGTCAAGCAAAACTCCTATTATATACTGTGATAATCAAAGCACAGTAGCCTTAGCTCACAATCCTGTTCTACACTCAAGAACGAAACATATGGAGCTTGATCTGTTCTTTGTTCGTGAAAAAGTCTTGGCAAAGTCTCTTGCTGTCCTTCACATACCTTCTTCTCTTCAAGTTGCTGATACATTTACTAAACCTCTCTCTGCTGCAAGGTTTACAGAATTAAAAGACAAACTCAAGGTCTTGGATCATGCTCTCCTGATCCAACCCACTTAAGTTTGAAGGGGGAATATTAGTGTATATACAGTAGAACTCTTTACTTTAGTCACAGCCACTTATTTGTATAAGTTGTTACAGCTGTCAACCATAAGCTGTTACAGCTGTTAGCCACTGTTACAGCTGTTAGCCATTTAGTATATAAATGTTAGCTTCATTTCTCTCTCTGTAATAATGATTCATTTGGTTCAGATTCAATAGAATAATGCTTTCTCTTCATCTCTTTCTCTCTCAACCTTTTCTCTCGCTTTCTCTCATTTTCTTAAGCTTTCCTTTAATGGATCTCTTCTAATAGGGGGAGATGGGGGTTCGTATTGGTTTCTTCTTTTTTGGATTGCTGGTTTTCTTAGTGAAAGGGCTTTTTCTTTTTATTCATTCTCAATCAAGAAAAAAGGATAGTATAATCGGCCCTCTTAACTTATTATTGCATGCAGTCAGCATATTTCAAGTAAATTATTTGTAAGTAGAAAACTAAGAGTTGAGTGGTTTGTGTGGTTGCTTGCAAGTTCAGATACCCGGAACATGACAGAAGTTATAACTTCAATCCTTCAGAGACTTGGTGACGATATTGATCCCAACAACCTGCCCCAAATTCTGGTACTTTTCAAGACATTGAATTTTATGTTCTTAAGGTTGAGTTTGATATGCTTCCTCCCTTTCCTAAGGCAAGCTGGCCAAATTTTTGTTTGTAGTATGAAGATGAAGATCATGATAAAGTTGTACTGGCTTCGGACAGTGATCTTGCTGCAGCTGTGGACCATGCAAGGACGGCTGGTTTGAAGGTATAGTAGATGTATTTGTTTGCAGGTTCCGAGTCCTGAATGGATTTATTTTTCCTTTCTGGAAGAGGGTAATGATTTGTAGTTCTGAAGGAAATCTTGATTAAGGGAAGATAGGATAATGGGTCTTTTTATTTTTTATATTAAATTTTAATTTTGGTATAGGATTGCAAATATCAAAAGGGAATAGCAATTCCGAGAACTTTATATGTGAGCACAGTTCAATCATACCTTGAACTTTAATACCATGTCAAACACCAATAATTTTAAAAGTTTAAGCTATTAGGTAAAGGCTTATCTTGAATGGTTTTCATTTAACTGTTATTGCAAGCTTCAGCATAAAAAACCTAGCTGGCATAGCCAATGGGGTTGGTTCTGCTGGTAAGGATTGAACATTGAAGCAGTTTGCTTGAAAAGAGTAGGTTTGATTCCCGCTGCCAGCAGTCCCCCTTGGTAGGTGTCATGTTTAACGTATGTATCACTGTGATCCCTCATTGAGGATTGTGGCAATGCCTTGCCGAATGGAATAGCCTTCCCTCCCCATCAGAATAACCTTGTTTACAAAAGAAGCTATGGTAGATATTGGACTCATCATTTATGGTAAAGGTATATTTATACGTATAGATCTGTTCAAAAGGAATTTGACTTTGGATTGATCACTTTTGTAGGGTTTGAAATTGCATTTAGACTACGCAGGAACACGTGGTTATGGGAGAGGTTCTCGTTCTGGAAGTCTGGAGCATGCTAATTCAGATGCATGGGCCTCAGCGTATAGTGCTGTTGCTGCTGGTGCTGCACTCGTTGCAGGCTTAGGCCTATTAACTTATCTGAAGCGAGTTTGATGAAAGGAAGAAGCGAGTTTTTTCTTAGTGTGGGCCAAGCTGAAGACAGTTGGAACTTTGAAGGGCACATTGCGCTTGCCATCTTTATGTTCTGAAATTTTGTACAACTACATTTATTGATACGAGGAAGAGGTTAAAGCATTTTTTAGCGTTGGGTATTGTGCTTTCTGAAATTTGGGTTGCAGCATCCTTGCTGCTTGTATATTTGTAATTTTAGGTTTTGCAGCCTCATCAATCCTGGAGGTTGTGTACAATAACAAATGGCTTAAACAGAAGTTTCTGTCCATTTTTTCTGACATAATGATTTAATAAAATCAATTGATAAGGACTGAGATTATAGGGAATAATGATTTTTTATTTGATGATCGTGTTTGCAGTTTATCAATCAAATTTTATGAGTAGTGTGTAGTGATGTGGTGTCGAGTTACAAATGTTAATTAGTTTTTGGTATAATTGAGATTTACGTGATGTTGATTTGAAATTTTGAATTATTGTCTTCCTTTGTAAATAGGGCTGTAGTTGAGCTGAGACGAATAATAAAATGCTCAAAGAAGTTTCTGTTGGTTTCTTTTTTTTTTTTGGGTAAGGGGAAGGATATACTTACCATTAAAAAAGTTTACAACCTTTATTTCTAATCTAATTATCATTAATTTTCGTCAATCTAACGGTTATGATTTATTGCAAAGTATTGGGTTGCATTTATTAATTAATTATTAATTCACAATAAATTATAGCTGTTAGATTGACAGAAATCAACGGTGATTAGGTTGGTTGTAAATGTGGTAAACTTTTTTGGTGGTAAATATATCCTGTCTCTAATCACCGTTGATTTTCGTCAATCTAACAGTTATGATTTATTGAAAAGTATTGGGTTGCATTTATTAATTAATTATTAATTCACAATAAATTATAACCGTAGATTGACAGAAATCAACGGTGATTAGGTTGGTTGTAAATGTGATAATTTTTTTTGATGATAAATATATCCTGTCCCTTTTGGTAAACCCTGTTAGTTTCTTAATTTTGATTATTCAGTTACTATATATATTGTTACATAAACATTCAGCCCAAGCTTACTAGCCTGAAATTAATAGTTTAGACTATAGACACCATATTTTTTTTCAAGTTTTGACTCTACTTTGTTTGACATTGGATTCTTTGTCGAACGTTTAGCCGTCATATTCGAGGTTTTACGTAGAGCTTTGTTTTCTTTGCATACATGATCTCTTGTATTTATATTTAAAAGATTAAGGTTTGAAAGGAAAACGGAGGAAATTATGAACCATGAGTAACAAAACTCGTGTGTTCTGAAGTTACAAATTTTGTTTTGCATAAACAAAATGATATACTAGTACATAATTGTCAATATGAATTTTACAAGTAAATAAATTGGAGTACATAAATAAGTAGACATTACACATTTTAGTTTCTTGTTAAAGGGGTGAAATTCATGAGTAACAACACATAACTCTTATGTATACTTTGAAATTGCAAGATTATTTAATATTTCTCATCAGGATATTGAGAGTCAAACCTGTGAAAGTACCGGTGATGCTGAAATTTCTCTGTCCTTGTTGACACCTTCTACGAATTTTATTGATTCTATTGAAGACAAATCTAACTGTTCGATTGTGTGTCTTCTTAAGAAGATTAAATTGCAAAAGGAGTTAAGTACTCGACTATTTGTTTCAAACAAAATAGAAGATATTGATACTTGATGATAATGGTTATGTTACAAATAGTACCTTTAACATTGTCTACAAGGAAGTATTTCAAAGATTAGTGAGTTGATTTGACATTGTTTAGACACATTTGTTCCAATGTAAGCAAAAAATATGGCTCATACATACCTATTTGGTTAAGTTGCTTTCAAATCCCTTTTAGACAATGTTTTTTGGGTTCTAAAACAAAAATTTAATCCATTTTTTTTTTTTGCTAAGACTATTACTTCTGGGTGTTAGCATATTAACGTAATCTATTTAATGAGTATTTGCATTCTGTCTCGCAGGCATAAATGTGATTGTAGAAGAGGATGTCCTTGGTAATGCATAATCATAGGGAATCACATGTTTGGTATGTGTTGAACTCATCCCACCAATGATTGCTACAGAATGACACTGAATTAATAGCGTTTTCTTATTATAGGTACAAGCTGGTCTTTTAATTCCATATTTGCTTGATCTGTTTGTTACCTTTTTATTGGTGGCTGTTATAGTTAGCAATAAGTTGTATGCATTTTTTTTTTTTTTAGCCATCCTCATTTTAACATAGTCTACTATGACGTATTTATTTTTTACATAACTCATCGAGTAGATAACTATATTTGATTTGCATACTATTGATCACTCTGGATAGCAGATTTCTGTATATGGTTGATATTTGTAAAATTTGTGTCAACGCTGTAGCTTTTTCCACCTAAAATATAGAACAAGATAGCAACACAGTTTTTTGTAAGTATAAGGTTTACAGTGCGATTAGCTAACCACGACGGATGACAAAATTTTTGATCTTTTTCCTCTGTGCATCGCACGAGTAATATACTAGTATTTATATTTAAAAGATAAAGGTTTGAAAGGAAAACGGAGGAAATTATGAACCATGAGTGACAAACTCGTGTGTTCTGAAGTTACAAATTTTGTTTTGCATAAACAATGATATACTAGTACATAATTGTCAATATGAATTTTACAAGTAAATAAATTGGAGTACATAAATAAGTAGACATTACACATTATAGTTTCTTATTAAAGGGGTTACTTATGAAATTCATGAGTAACAACGCATAACTCATGTATAATTTGAAATTGCAAGATTATTTAATATTGGTGTCAAATTAAAAGTATGATATCATATGAACCATATTATTATTGAGTTGCATCCATTAATAAATTATTAATTTTTAATAAATTATCGCTGACAAAAATTAACAGTTCAGATGAAGTGTAAAATATTAGGGGTCAAATGATTCCACCCCTCTAAAGTGAAATAATTTTATTTACATAAACAAAAATGATATACTTATGCATAAAAGATAAGTATAAATAAGAATGTTACTTGCAACTAAATTGGAGAGTACATAATATGTAAACATTAAACATTTGAGTTTTCTTGTTAAAAGGGTTACTTAATGAAATTCGCGAGCTGAATAAGTAAACAGTCAAATTTGGCTGTATAAACAAGCTTGAATTATTGTTCATGCGTGTGGGTAGGTGGAGTGGTCTGAGACCGGCTAGAAAGCAAGCAGCTGCTGTGGGATTACCTACAAAGGTGCTCTAAGTTCAAGTTAGTGAAGCTAAAATTTAGGCTAGTAGTATTTAAGCTTTTAACCATAACATGTGCACTCTTACTACATAAATCTCCTTGTATTATTATAGTGTTATTATTCCTGTGGTGTATTGCAGTTATAGATGTAGGCATTACGCAATGTCTACGAGCCTCCGAGGAACATGGACCGCGAGAATCGACAGCATATTAATAGGCCTACAATTCTCGATCGTATAAAATAGGGCCTGGCCCATCTGGTCCTGTGTTTATGAGTCTCTTGTCGGTGTCTGGGCCCTGTTGGCCCGTCCTTACATCTTATTTCTTAAGGATGTCTAATCTCTTTTTTCGTCTACTTTTTTTTTTAATGATTCAAAAATAAAAGGGTAAAGCGTGTCGCACTAATATCACTTTGTTTGATGTGATTTCTTTGACTACGAGCACCGACACCATCGCATAGTATTGGTTACTCGTTAAGTATGAAAGATGCTATTCCAAGTCACCACAATTTACGTTCATTTCAATTCAAAAGTTATCAGGCGAAGGTTGATTAGTAATTTTATATTTTTCTAGAATCTATTGGACTTGAAGAGGATAATACACAGAGCTATTTGTCTATGATAAGAAATTTTATAATATTTAATTATTTATCAATTAAATAGCGATAATGAGTATCGAATTCGTAATCACTTGATAATGAAAGTTTATGTAGGATCCATTGAACTTAAAAGGGATAATATATAGATCTACCTACCTATGTTAAAAAAATTTATAATATTTAATTATTTATTAATTAAATAAAAATGATGAAAATCGAATTCGTGATCGCTTGATAAAGAAACAGTTCAACCAAAAAAACTTAAACTTATAAATAATGAATCTTTTAATAATTTGAGTAAATACTATTTTTGGTCCTCAGCAAATTTTACGATATTCGCTTTAGTACCTAGCAAATAAAAAGACTATTCGTAGTTCTTAAGAAATTCAAAATGGACCCCATTTAATTAAAATCGTGGTCTCTCACAAATTCAAAAAAAACCCACATTAGTTCCTCAGAAGGACTAAAATGGATTCACTTTGAATTTCTTAGGGATTCTGAATAGTCTTTTTATTTGCTACAGACTAAAGCGAAAATCGTAAAATTTGATAAGGATAAAAGGAATATTTAATCAATAATTTTATGTTATATCTCTGTAACTGTTTTTCGGCAGTGATGTGTTGCCAATGGTAGGGAATCCGTATGATGCCGAAATCTTCATGCGAAAAATAAAAAATAAAATTCAATGTTACTCTTCACAATTCACATGCATGCTTTTGTGCAGATACAATTGCGGATTGCCCACCGATTTGTCTCGGGAGGAATATAAAATGCTAGGGTCCTTAAGTCTATACAATATCTTCCCTTCCCTACCCTTGTGCCCTCACCCGTGGATGTTGCCAGTTTCTCTTTCCAGAGCCTCTTGCAATTTTAATATAATATATACGAAAGCAGCATATTCAATTTAATTTTTTTTTTTTTTTTGGAGTTAAGACAAGATAAAATGTTGTTTTTTTTATTATAATATGATGGTAAGTTGTTTATACGGGAAAGGAATGAAGTTAATTTTTTATGGGATTACCTACTTATTAATTCATGGTGATTTCAGATTGATTTCGACTTTCACACTCAAAATCATCACTAAATTAAAATATTTTGCAATGCCAGCGCAACATAAATTGTCTTCGTTCCTCACAAGAATATTACACTTTTCCACGTGGTTATACATACCTTATTTTATTGTTTAATGATAATTAACTTTATTCTTATTTTTTACACACGTAACGAATTCCTCCACTTATCTCATACGTGAATTGATGTATTTTATAAAGATATAAAAAAACATTGTTCTAAAAAAAACAACAACGAATATTAGAGTTTTTTTAAAGCTAAAATATATCAAGTAGCTATCAAGATTTCTGTTACTCAAATTCCTCCAAATTTAAGATTCTAATGCACATCAAAGTTTTGTTCTTTTGGTCTTGTGAACCCAACACACTCTCTAGGTGACAAAATTTCTTCTCCAATCAAACGGAAGATGTAACCGTCATGAAATAAATAAACTGTTTCAACTTAATTACACTGCAAAACCGCTATTTAGTGCGAAGGAAAACAGCAAGTTCAACATATGACAATTGACCAAATCATTCGCAAACTGTTTTGTGTACAAAATTTGGAGACGTGACACAATCATACAAAGATAAATTAACGATTATGATTTTGTAATTATTTATTTTAACATTTTTTTTTCTTTTCTTTTATTACCATCGATTCACCTTTGTATGGTTATGATTTTCCACATTATATGATCATGTGAATTTTCACATGAAATGATCCCGATCCACCAAATTTTCGTACTATTCATTTAATAATAAAGCTTCTTAATCACATAAAAATAAACAATTCTTTACAAATAACAGAGCCTACAATGTGCCAAAAAAAGAAACCCTACAAAAGTGGACATCATATGAATCTGTGATCCAACTACGATAGAGGGGAAGGTGATGCCACGTAAGAACTTCCACACATCAAACGGAAAATACTCACAAAACAACACTTTTCCATTCACATTCCATTAATTGCGTTACCTTCTTTTTTCTATGAACTACAATATTCCATTAAAGGTGATTGAGTGAGTGAGTGAGTGAGTTAGAAGTAAAGCACAAAGCCAGAACCAGAAGGTTCTCTTTCCTTTCTAGTGCTCTGCTACTGCTATCCATATATCTAAATTCAAACACACTAAGTGAAAATTTTATCCTCACTCCACAAAATATCTCATATTCATTCGAGTTTGCACCGACATACACTGTTCATTTCTTCCATATTCAGTGTTAAACAGTACAGAGTACGAAGTCAATAGATAAAAGGCTTTTGGATTCACATCTATATACAAAGTTACATACCCATTTGCCAAAAGGTTCCATCTTTGATGGCAAGAATGGGAGCTAGCAAACCAAGATCACCATACCCTCTTTCCTCCATTATCTTGCTCTTTCTCACTCTGTCAAGTGTGTTCCTTCACCCAACAAGGTGTGGTTTTGCAACCGCACAACAGCAGCAACCTATCAAAACCGTTGTTGTTTTGGTTATGGAGAATCGTTCCTTTGATCACATGCTGGGTTGGATGAAAAAAGCCATCAACCCATTAATCAATGGGGTCACAGGAGATGAATGCAACCCGGTTTCTACTAAAAATCCAAGGAAAGATTCAATTTGCTTCAGTGATGATGCGGAGTTCGTGGATCCGGATCCAGGGCATTCATTTGAAGATGTGTTACAACAGGTATTCGGTTCTGGTTCCGGTTCCATTCCTTCCATGGATGGGTTTGTAGAACAAGCATTGTCCATGTCTCAGAACCTCTCTGAGACAGTGATGAAAGGGTTTAAACCCGAATCTGTGCCTGTTTATGCCGCTTTGGTTCAAGAATTTGCGGTTTTTGATAGGTGGTTTTCTTCAATTCCTGGTCCAACACAACCCAATAGGCTTTTTGTCTACTCTGCAACTTCTCATGGTTCAACAAGTCATGTCAAGAAGCAATTAGCAAAAGGGTATCCACAAAAAACAATTTTTGACTCTCTGCATGAGAATGGCTTAGACTTTGGAATTTATTTTCAGAACATACCCACAACTCTGTTCTATAGAAATCTAAGGAAGTTGAAATACATATTCAAATTCCATCAGTATGATTTGAAGTTCAAGAAAGATGCTAGAGATGGGAAGCTTCCACCCTTGACTGTGATTGAGCCTAGGTACTTTGACTTGAAGGGCTTGCCCGCGAATGATGACCACCCATCTCATGATGTTGCAAATGGACAAATGCTGGTTAAGGAGGTTTATGAGGCTCTAAGAGCAAGCCCTCAATGGAATGAATCTCTTCTGGTCATTACATATGATGAACATGGTGGATTTTTTGATCATGTGGAGACTCCTTTTGTCAACATTCCTAGTCCAGATGGGAATACAGGACCTGCTCCTTATTTCTTTAAGTTTGATAGATTAGGCGTTCGGGTGCCAACTATTATGATCTCTCCTTGGATTAAGAAAGGGATTGGTAAGCTCAAAATCCTCATAGATTATACATATTTTTGTCAAAGCCATTATACATTTTCTTTTTTTTATGATAAAGATGTCAAATAATTGTGTATAAATACTTCTCTCATGAAGACAATGGCAGGTTTTTATTCTATTGAATGCTATATCTAGTTTTCCGGGACCATTGTCCTTTCTCTTACTTTATATTCCGATGCCATTACTTTGTCAGGTAGTCTTGACATTGAATTACATTCAGTTGGTTGATTTTATTTTTGTTTTTTGTTTTTTTCTGACACATATAAGCTCATGCTTGTCCTTCCCTAGTGTTTTGAGTAGAGTAAGGATTAAGGTCTGCTGTTTTCTAATCAAATTAAGTCAACAAACTAGATATTGATTTTGAGTACTGTGTTTATGATGATTTTCGTTTACCTGATCTCTTTGGATGCATATGTTAGATTCTAAAGCTTCAACCTGCTTTTGAATGGTTTGACATGCCTACTAATTTACTACTTGATTCGGTTTCTCAGTGATGAGTGGCGCCAAAGGACCTGCTGAAAACTCCGAATATGAGCACTCTTCTATTCCTGCCACCATAAAGAAGATGTTCAACCTTTCCTCTAATTTTTTGACTCACAGAGATGCATGGGCTGGGACATTTGAGCATGTTGTTGGTGACTTAAGTTCCCCCAGAACCGATTGCCCAGGTATATTTGAATAACCCCCTTTTCATGTCAATTAGTTTAACTCATCAATAATAATGTATTTGAATATGAATCACAACTTTAAGAGAAATGGCCTATAATGACCTTATTATGTGTAGTGTGTGAATAAAGTATTAAGAGAGCTTAATATGTGTATTGCAGTGACTTTGCCGGATGTGACACCTCTAAGGAGCAGTGAAGCAAAAGAGGATGCTGCTTTATCTGAGTTTCAGAGTGAGGTAGTTCAATTGGCAGCTGTTCTCAATGGGGACCATTTTTTGAGCAGTTTTCCAGATGAAATGAGCAAGAAGATGAATGTAAAGGAAGCTCATGAGTATGTGCGTGGAGCTGTTTCAAGATTCATAAGAGCTAGCAAAGAGGCTATCAAGTTAGGAGCGGATGAGTCTGCTATTGTGGATATGAGATCATCTCTCACTACTAGATCTTCGATTCACAATTAATATAAAATAAAACCCAAAAAATAAAAAAAAGTGTGGCTTATCTATGTATCTAATTATTATAGGTAATTTGATTATTGTTAGGATTGTGAAAGTGGAATGCACTGAAGGGCAAGAGTGTTTGCTAGTATGCTCAGTTAGTCATGCTCATGCATGGACGAAGAGTGTCTTTACGTTTGAAAGAATTTAAGGAATTAAAAAAAAAAACAAAAAATAACATGAACCGAGTGATGGCTTGGCTAGTGAATAATTTCGAAGTAGAAAACTCCAATGCTTATGTACAAAATACAAACCCATGATACAAATGAAGCACCATAATTTTGTTTTGAATTGCTTATATTATTTGAATTTCTTGAACGAAACTGCAATGAGGTAACTTCATAACGTTTTATTGTTACTTCTATTTTATGGTAAAATATTTTACTGTTACCTCGTGTTAAATTAGTGTCTCTTTGGCTATGAATAAATCTTAGGTGCATCTGTTGCACCTAGATTCAGTGCAAAGAATTTTAACTAACATGTAATGTTTCTATTAGTGAGATGCACTGAATTTTTGGTACATCAGTAGCATCAAAGATTTATTCTTTGGCTACAGTCGGGCACAGTAGCGTCAACAAACTCACAACAAAGCTCATTTTTTACTAAGTTAATCTGTTTCTTAGTAGGTCAAAATTAATTTTACTCAGTAAAATTGATTTTGGGTAAACTAAAAATTTTAAAAATATTTATATTTACATTTCAAAAGCGATTTCAATTTACCTTTTAAACAAAATTATTATTTTTTTAACATTACCATTTTCAAAAGTGATTTTTTCAATATCAATTCTTTTAAAATTAAAATTGATTTTACTGAATAATCTTGCTTGAAAATAAGGCAATGCTCATAAAATCCAAAAGTTATACAAGACAGAGTTTGTATTTATAAATCCAGCTTCTTAAATAGAAGGGATATAGTAAGAACAGAGTATTTGCAGTACAATCAATCCACTGAGGGTTGTCCTAAAAATGAGAAGGGTTGCAAATTTTCTGCGGGTAGAGAATACCACTAGCTTTGCAACATGCCGAATTCCACTAAAGAATGAGACGAAATAATGACAGGAACTCCTGCCACAGAAAATTGAAAAAGGTTGTGAGACCATGTACGGAAATCGGTAGATGAAAAAGAAGGGGATAGTAAAGAAAATGGTAAAGAATAGATACATAATACATTTGTCTTTATTGTCAGTCCTGGTCTAGTGGACTCTCTTTTTCTTTTTTAAATTGAAAAGGGGAGGAAGTGGAGGGTGCATTTCCCATTCCTCCTCCCGGAGAATAATACTTTTTCTCCTTTCAATTGGAGGCAAACTTTTAAAAAGAAAATCTTGAACAAGATACTGCTCCGTTTCTTTATCCTTCAATCTTCATCTCCTAAATAAATAAGAGAAAGATACTTTTTACATTAAACTGTACCAACTTCCTGTTCCTACTTCCTTTCCCAAATATTCCTCAAAATCAAATAATAGAACTGAAACAAATGAAATGAATCCAGCTAAGGAACAAGCAATGAAAAATGCAAAAATTGGTGAATAAGATCATCAAGAGTTTCTTCTTGGGACCAAAAACATGCACCCTTCTCTAAACTTCAAAATAAAACTGTTTACGTACAATTTCTGACAACAATCATATGAAGGATTCCATCAAATTGTTATTAAGCATTAGCTGGTTGTTATTCTATAAAATTTATGCCAAAAATTCTACGAAGTACAAGCCCAATGGACAAACATTTACAGATAACCTCTTGTCATTCCACACCTCTCAAATCATAGTTTCAGGAAGTAAATGAGAACATCTTGAGATAAGCTGATGAAACTTCAAGTGTTACAATATCAAGAAGCATAGTTACCCGTCACTGTACTCTATCAATTTTCCATTTGGTGGCACCACTCTACAAATTTAAGTACTCATCCCAAACTTCAGGCCGAAAAAGGACTTTGCCATGTTGATATATCAGTGATAAGATCACGCAGTTGATCTATAAGTATCTTCAGGTGCAAGTTCTTGTAGGCAAGCTCCTACAGTTATGAGCAGAACTTAAATGTTTAACACAACAATATAATTTAAAAAAGAGAGGCTCTCAGTAATTTCAATATAGAACCTAATAATTTTTGCCAAATTAAATTGTTTCAGCAATAGGTTAAAAGTATAAAACCCATTATAAGAATAATGTCAATGGATTCTGTTAACTGTAGCTGATATAACATGATTGAAAATTTAGTATTTTCTGAATCCCAATCAAATAAAATATGAGCCCAACGCAAAATTTCGATGTTCAGGATTTGTAAAAAACATGGTCAAGCATTGAGATTGAGGTTAATAGATTTATTAAAACCTACCTTTCTTAGAGAAGAGGCTCGGTCTTCTAACTTCTCAATTTCAGCTTCATCCACAGGGCTAGCATCCAACCCAGTGTCAAATGCTTTTGCCTGTAACACTAACCAAGTTAGTTGAACTGGGAAACGAAAGCTTCACTAGACAAAATAATAGTTCTAAAGCTCAGAATAAGATGCACAAAAATATTTGACCAAAACAGATATATATATATATATATATATATATATATATATATATATATATATATGAACAGGAAGATGTGAGTCTGTGTACCAATATCCTATAAGCTTCCTTATACACAGTATGGATTCTAAGTCTGCGTAAGAGAGACGTTATGATTTCTGAATGAAATTTTCTTTTACTGCATCATCTTTTTCATATTAACAACTTCAAATTCCAGTCTATGGGACAATAATACAGCGGAAACATGTTTAGCGAATTATGAATTTATAGCAAGTGATTTATCCCAGTCAGTTTGATATCCACATAGACTTGTGGCTAAAACTTCAAGTATGGGTTTGTCATGAACCTTTTCATATAAAGCTGATCCCTGAATTTTTCAGACCCATTTTTGAAAGGAACCCAACTGAACCTTAGAATAGAGAGATTTGTATAGTCTTTTAGCAAGTGAAAAAGACATATGCAGGAATTGAAGTTGAAATTCTCAATTCATTAGCTAGAAATTTGATGATGCAAAATAACTAGATTCTTATTACTTAAGGTGTTTAAGCAATAAAATATAGTCAGATAGTCAGTCAAAATTCATTAATTAAGCCACTTAATGATCCAGTCAGCTCTGGAACATTTACAGGGGCCTATAAATAGGAGTTTTCATATTTTTCATCATATTAGTGAAATATCATATCTGTGGTTTAAATCTCAGCAACTTGACTTCCTAAACTTATCAAACCATGCAAAGAAGAATAAATCCAACCACTCGCGCATTGGCAGAAAACCCCGTTGTATGGGGTCAATAAGCATGGTTTAGTAAGGTCAAGGAGTTGAGTTGCTGAGTTTTGAACAACAGCAGAGTTTCTGCAACTGACCTATAGTAGAAGGGAGTTCCTTACATTTGAGTCATTATATGTCGAAGGGAACTTCCTTCATTTCTGTATTATATCTCTGAACTCTAAATCTAAAGTCTTTTCAGATTTCCATTCAAGGAGGTAGGCTCCTCCCAATACCATCCTACCGATTGTCCTTTTCTATTAACACCAAATTTCAGTTTAAAACCCTAGGGGCCAACAAGGTGCTAAAATGCCAAAAAGAGATAAGCAACAATCTTAAGGCGGAAGATCATAGTTTTTATTATGAACCCAACGAATATGAAAATAAATAGCTGACAGCCCCAACAATTACTAAATATCTAGAGCTAGCGAGGGGGTGAGAAAATTGAAAGCATCATCAACCAGTAGGAATTCTAGTAGGCAAGGAAGTTGCACAAAATTTTTTATGATATTGAGGGGGAAACCAATTTCATAAAGAATTTGGGTTACTGAAGCTGACTTTGAGTGTAAAATAATCATGAACTGTTCAAAACATTCCAGGCTTTTCAAATTCTTCCCAGGCTAGGAGAACTGATCCAAAATGATCAAAAAGTTCTTACTGCTTACTAGTTATTTTTAGTCAATCACGAGTCATTGTTCTGTGAATTTAATAAATTAACTAAATCCAGACTCTATAAAAAGTTTAATATTGTAATTACTAATTAGTGGTTACACATTTCCTTCCTTTCAAATATTTTTTTTTTTTCGGTACAATTCAAGTAATGTTTTTGCCCTCTCACAATTAAACGCAGTTTAGTTTATTGCCTTTGGTTCTAGCACATATTAATTCCAACCACTCCCTCATTGCTTGTAATCTCCCTAAAGTTCAAGGGCTCAAAAAATTCAAGAAACAATAAAATTTTATGACAAAAAAGCAGTTACCAAAATGAAACATTACGAGTGTCTAACGAAAAGTGAACATATCTCAAAAGAAAAGAAGATAAGTAACCCCAAATTACAAAACCAGGGTTTGAAATGGTACCTTCGGGGAGTTAGGAATTGCAGTGAGAATAGTCCGAAGCGCAGCCACAGCATTTTTATAGCGAAAGCGAGCCTCTTCAAGAGCGCCTCCAGCACCGCCAGAGGAAGCAGCAGCAGCGCCGCTGTCGGCGTGGTGGCTGGAGTTATCGGAAGGGGCATCACCACTAACGACGCCGTTTGAGGATGGGGCATTAGGAGAGGCAGAAGCAGAGGCAGAGGTGGACCACAAAACGGGGTTGCAAAGCTCGTCGTTCATGGAAGAGAGGATCTGGTAAGCGTATTGTATGGTTTCTTCAAGGTACTTGTGGCCTTCCATGGCTAACTCTTGCGTAGTTTTGGGAGTTGTTGTTGACCTTGACATGATGCCGTTCACCGACTCTTCTTCCATTCCAACACCTATCTAAATCGGAGAATACTAACACTGCAATTACAATGTGGAGATGGAGAAATGATAAAACCCTAATCTGCACTGCACCACTGTAAACAAGAAAATTAGGAAAGGCAAAGAAATTAAAAAATAAAATAAACCTATTAGTTTTAGATTTCAAGTCTACCTCCTTGTCAAAATTTCAACACAATTCAAATTATTTTTTTGAGTGAATGTGTTTTGTCCCTAACAAAAAAATACGGTCCTCACTTTAGTCTCTTACAAGAAAAAATTTCTCTAACAAATTCAAAGTGGACCCAGTTTAGTCCTTTTGAGGGACTAATATGGGTCTTTTTTAAATTGTGAGGGATCACGATTTCAACTAAATGGATCCATTTTGAATTTGTTAGGGACCAACTGACTAATATTTTTTGTAAGGGACTAAAGTGGGGACCGTGTTTTTTAGTTAGGGACAAAAAAGATATTTACTTTTTTTTTTTGGTAGTATACACACAATTCAAATTTTGACTATACATGCTTGATTATATTTAAATAATAATATGTCTAATTCATTTTAATAATGATAACTAAATTTGAAATTAATTCAATTAATTTTTTGGACAAATTACATAATACTACCTTTTACTTACATGCTTTTTCATAAAGCCACTATGTATTTTCAATTAAAACAAGGGATAGGATATTCTGACAACCAAATAATATTACTATCACATCTTAATCGTTGATTTCCGTCAATCAACGGTTATCATTTTTCAAATCAAACTCATTAATTAATTATTAATTTGCAATAAATAATAACCGTTGATTGGCGGAAATCAACGGTTAAGATGTGGTAGTAACATTGGTAGTAACATTATTTGGTTGTCACAATATCCTATCCCTTAAAACAATTACCCATTCTATACTAGGGGTGTTCGTGGTGTGGATTGGATCGGTTTTGGAAGTAAAAATCATCTGATCCAATCCCTTTGGTTTGATCATATAATCATCCATTCGGTTTTGATTTTTTTTCAAATCCGATCCAATCCAATTTTTTTCGGTTTGGATTGGATCGGTTTTCAGTTTTTTGAAAATCCTAAAATTTATTTCATGATTATTGTGCAAATAACATCTTTTGTATATATTAGCTTTGTAAAAAAAAAAATTTGAAATACAAAAGCATTAGTAAACTATAATATAATTTTTTTAATTTTAGCAATGAGATATGAAGCTTTATAAAGATAAAATTTTGTTGATGAGATATGACTAGATTTTTTCTTGGGTTTAGTTGATGGGTTAATGGGTCTTGGATTTAGAAATTTTTAGGCTATGATTAGAGAAATACCCAAGCAGGTAGAGAGAAATTAATATATTGGATCGATTTTCATCAACCCATCCAAAAACCGATCCAATTCAATTAAAATTTGCGGTTTTTAATCGGTTTTCGATTTTTCGATTTTCGGTTTATTCAATTATCGGTTTTTCGGTTCGGTCACCGCGGTTTGAATCGGTTTGGATCGGTTGATGAACACCCCTATTCTATACTATAACATTGAATCAATTAAACATATTCATTAATTTTAAGACATAATTAACCCTGTGCTCAATCATCTCACCTATAACTTCTCAGCCTCCCTCATCAATCACCATTTTTCAATGTCCGTCCATCCCTTGTTAAATGAAAAAAATAAAAAAATTGGTGATCACCATCAGAAAGACAGAAAGGGAACGATGGAGCATTTGCGAAAGTGTAGGAAATTTTCAATTTCACTTAAAATTTAAATCTAACACAAAAAAAAGCCTGCTTTCTACATGCTTTTGGAATCCAAGTCTCCATGTCATTTCAGATGCTTCGTTTCTACTGTAAAACCTTGCATATATTATAGAGTAGAGATTTGGACCATCTTTGTCACAAGTCAATAATGTAGCTTTGATTTAGATTTTTTATCAAGCATTTTGCAGACAATTAAATGAATAGACAAACTTGGAAACAAGAGATTACAAAACTCGTAGCAAATCGTGTAAGTTAATCAAAATTCGAAATGTGATTCTTTCCTTTGAAACAACCTTCACATAATGGATGCATTAGTGAGATTCACACAGAAGAAGATTGACGCAGAAGCAAAAATAGAGATTAACAAATAGATTTCAATGTCATTATACGAATTTGGGCTGATTCTTTTTCTTTTATATCAACTTTTAAGTTAATTTTTTTCTGGAAGCATGCAAATTAGTTCTAGCATACCAAAACTTAGTGATTCTCATAATCACAATTTTGAAGCAGACACAAAACGAGAACAAAAAATAAAAGGTAGAATCTTGTTATCAACCAATTAAAAACAAAGAATGTTTATAGTTGCACCAGCATACTAGATTGGCAATATGCTTTGATGCATATCTCAACTCCCTCTGTTTTTTGCCTATTGAAAGACTTCTCATTTTTTTAGTCTCAGAAGCAGTTCAATAGTTTAATTTCGCAGATACTAACTTTCAATTTTCAATCATCATTCCCTTTCTATCTTTACGATGGCGATCACCATTTTTTTTTTCATGTAAGTGAGGATGGACAGACATTGAAAAATGGTGGTTGATGAGGGAGGCTGAGCAATTATGGATGTGGGTGATTGAGCACAAGATTAATTTTGTCTTAAAATGAATAAATATGTTTAATTGATTCAATGTTATAGTATGAGGTGCCTAACTGTTTTATTTATTTTTTGGTAATCTAGGTGCGTAATTATTTTAATTGAAAGTACATGGTGGTTTTTTGAAAAAACATCTAAGTAGAAGGTGGTATTATGTAATTTGCCCTAATTTTTTTTACATTAATGAGCATGGTTATGATTGTTTAATTTTTCAATTTTAATTAAAATAACTTAATTTGTATTAATGATATTATATATAATATTTAACTGGAGTTGAGATTACTTTTTATGTTATTTATGAGTTTTAAGCTATTATTATATAAGAATATTTTTTACTGCTGACTTTAATCATGCACCTTAGTCATTTATTTACTTTCAAATATAACTATTTTTTAATTTTAATATTACTATTATTATTATTATTATTATTTTATGCTGATTTTATTAAGTCAATTACGATAATTGTCAAGTGATTTTGTAGTTATACAATCTATACATTAATTAAAAAATGTGTCAATCAAATTATTAATGCATGAAATTTGTAAGGTGTTATCTCAACAAGTTGAATGAATAATATAATAATTTAATTTAGGGCATTTGTGTTTGTTATTTTAAATGATATAATTATGTCATTTTAAGAGAGAGATAGACATAGAAAATAAAAATCATGGGAGAGAGAAAGTGGATGATTTTTATTTAAATTTAAATAAAAAATTTATTTTGTGTCTATCTCTCTTAAAATGACATAACTTTATGTCATTTAAAATAACAAACACTTATGTTATCAAAAAAAAAAAAAAATGACAAACACTTTTTCCTTTAATTTAATATATTTTAATATGAAAGAAGTGTTTTCCACTTTTCCTTATTGGAGACGATAAAATTATCTGTTGGGAAAAGTTTAAAAAATCTCATGTGGTATTGTTTGAATCACTTTTAGTGTTTTTTTTTTTTACTCACTTAATCCCCATGGTCTTTTTCATCAACACCCTTCCTTAAATCTATTTGAAAATTAATTAAGTATAATTATTCTACTCTTTGTAGAAGAAAAAAATAAAATGATAAAAAAAACAAAACCAAATATTATGATAATTTAAAACACTTAATAAAAGACTAAAAGAAAAAAATAGTAAAAAAAAATAATCAAATGTGTCAAAATAAAAAAATATATATAATAAAAACAAAAAATAGAAGAAATCAAATGATGGTAGCTCAGTTGGCACATGAAAACTCAACAAGTTGGAGTGAGAGCATGTGTTCGATTCTCCCTAATACATCATTGGAAAGGCTATAAAGATTTATTGCCAAACTCGCTCCGAAGAGCATTCCCTCCCGTGGAGTGGTTTATCCAAAAAAAATACCAGAAAAAATAAGATCAAATATATTAAAAATCATAACAGTGACAGAAAAGACTAAAATATAACAAAAAAATGAAAAAAAGTACACTGAAGACTAAAAATTAGGATAAAAAATAAAATAAAAAGGAAATAAAATAAAAAGAAATCACATGAGTTTTTAATATATTTAATTTAATTTTTTTTTTCTTTTTTATCCTTGGTGTATTTTTTTTTTTTAAATATGTTTGGTTTTTTTCTTCTATTTTGGAAATTCATAACTGTGTTTTCTTTTTCTTCTATTTTTTTCTTATTATATTTTCTGTTTTTATACATTTTTTTATTTAGACACATTTAATTTTTTTTTACTATTTTTTCCTTTTATTAAGTGTTCTAATTTTTCATAACATTTGGTCTTATTTTTCTTTTCTTTTTTATCATTTTATTTTTTCTACTAAGAACGGTAGAATATATATATTTAGTTAATGTTCTAACAGTGTTAAGAAGGGGTGTAAATAAAAAAGCCATAGAAAGTTAAGTGATTAAAAAAAAATATTGGGGTATAACTAATCCAAAGCAATTTGGAATGATATTGCTTTAGGATTTGAAAAAAAAAATGACATTTTGATAATTTTATTTCTCTTTTGTAACATGAACTTTCTCAAGATGCTCGTATTTTTTTTTTCAAAACCCTAAAATAATGTTATTTTGGAATTGTAGATAATAACTTTATTTAGAAGAAACACTAAACCCTTTTATTAAAGATTTACATTATCGGGGCTTCGCCCCTTAATGTTATCAAAAAAAAAAAAAAAAAATTTACATTATCTATCAAATAAGTTAAAGCAAAACTTGGTTTTCGTTTCCTTTGTGATGGACCACAAAGAGGGGACATGCCAAGTGTCCGCTTTAGACGAACTAAAAAAATTACATCCCTTAAATGATAAGTTAAAGAAATAAAATAAAGAAGAATAATTATATAAATTTAAAAATAATAGTAATAAAAATATTTTAATATGTGTAAAGCACAATATAAAAAACTAGCACTACTATACTAAAATAATTCCATAAAAAAGAGTTAATACTTTTAATTTTTTTACTATAGTTGTTTACTATTTTTGTTTCACTTTTGATGTGCGAAAAGTTTTCACTGTTGAGCTAAAAGTTCTCTTTGGTGAGAGAAAAAAAATGAAATTTAGCTAAATTTGTACAATATTACGGGGCTCAACTACCTATATAATGAAGAAAAAAAAATTAATATGCCATCATGTGAAGTTACTGCAAAAATGTCATACTGTTTAATTTAATCTCCTTAGATCCCTCAGCAGTAGTAGACATGGCAGAAATTGACAAGTCTCATTTGATATAAAAGCGTGACCAGTCTAAGTGTCTAACTATGGGCTAGCAGAACAATATCGTTCATCCTAAATTATATTCCTTTTCAGATCCTCATATTCTCACTTCATATAAATAATATTAAATTAATATTATTATTTATATATTTGTAAAAAAATAATATTAAATTAATTTAATTAAATAATAATTAATAATATGAACAAATTTTTTTTTTGAAATATTTCAATCGTCAACTAAACTATCATAATTTAATTAATATAAATAAATAAATCTTATCCTCCAAAAATTTTATAAATTCAAAAACTTCAAATTTATTACCCATATCGACAATATAATTATAATATTTCTTTCCCTTGTATCAAGTAAAGAATGCGCTTCTCAGTTCTAACAAACAAAAAAGAAAAATCAATCTTCAAATTATTATTATTATTAATTGTAAATATGATACTTTTAAATTTTCAGGAATTTTAAAAGATTGTACTTTGCAAAAGAAAAAAAAGAAGGTTGCATTCAAATTAAGAATTATTATAATTTTAAATTATTATTTGATTGATTGAATTTATATTAATTCATAATTTAACACAAAATAAATTAGGTCTCAGAAATCATAGTCATCATACAAAACAGAAATGAAAAATAACATTTCGTGCTGACACGTTATTTAAAACACATTATCAACAAAATACTGAACATAGATCTCTTAAATAACTGGGGAGAATAATCTAAGTATTCTGTACAACTATGGATAAGTTGTCCCATTCCCATGGATGAAACCAACATATTGCAAAGCAACGCCTATCTAAATGTCAATGCAACCACCCTTACGTTCAAAATCAAGCTGGTTGAAAAAAAAAAAATCAAACACCCAGAACTGCGCAAAAATTGAGCAGACCAACCATAATAAGAATTGAAGTCACATGGCACATGAAATGCAGTAAAATAGATTCACTATAACCACAATCATTGTAGGGTAACAGCCATCGCTCCTTGATCAGTGCATGTTGTTTTACTTAACTATTATTATTGTGGGTCAATACTGCACAATGACTGTGTTATTTTTTTCAAAGATTGACATGAACGCACCATGTTTCATTGTGTTTATTCGTCAGCCTCCAATGTAAACGATGCTGAAATGCGCATATACAATAATGTAGACTCCCTGAACATGTTTGCCACCAGAAATTTCACTCATTTGCATAATCACCACAACTATCCATCCGCTGCAAAGAACAAACAAAAAGAACACGTTTGAATATTTACAAAATTGATGACAGAAATATCAATATGATAATAGCTTTAGAGTACATTGCAGTTTTGGCAGCTAGAGCCAGTTCAGTTTGTCAGCATAAGCCAGGCACAAACCAAGCTAGTTTTGGCTGACAGTTTCAAAGGAAACTTGACCAGTGATCCTAGAGTGTATGACATAGGATAAAACTCACCATTCTTTTGCTGACATAAGGCTGTATCTTGATTGGCATCTCAGATTGAGTTTCAACATTTAGTAACTTTCCTTTCTCTCTCTCAAATTCTTTTCTCGATTCTTTTCTGCTACCAGATTGCCAGACTCTACCAAAATTAGGAAGCCAGTTGGCATCAAACTCATTCCTCACAGTCTCTCCCCTCTTTTCCATCTCCATTTCAATCTTTCTCTTCTCCGCCCAAGCTGCTCCCACCCGTTTTGGATTCAACTTTTTGGACTTCCCTGACTTGTTTGAATGGGAGACAAGGTCTACTGAAACAGGCTCAGAATATATCTGCACTCCCTCAGTTGTTTCAAACCATGGTGGAGGTGCTCCAGAATGAACATTTCCACCAGCATTTTCAATAGGCACAGAAGAGACTCGGCTGAGCATCTGTTGACCTGAAAATGAAGAAGGATCAAGGATCATGAGTAGAAAATGCATCACTCATGCTAGTTCACCACCAGAGTCACAAACTCATCTGTTGCCTATCTATGAATAAGTTATAACACCATAGTAAAGTTTTAGTTTTTTTTTTTTCCTTTTTTCCTTTTTTCTGCATTCATATTACTTAAATATTTTACATATATGTACAAATGCAACAGTGCACTACATATTCAATTGGCATATGCTTTGCAGCTTTTTAGTATTATAAGAATGGAAGCAAAACAAAATTGACAAAATTATAGATGAATACCCTTATGGTTGCTCTCTCTGCTTACCATTCTACCATTGTCACGCACCTAGTACATTCATACAAAATGCAATACTTTTATCAGAGTTGAAATTACTCATTAGACAGCTACGACACAGGAAGAGAGCAACAATCAGAAAAAATGTTAAAAAAAAAGAAATTAGAGATTATAATTTATAAGTACTAGCATACATTGTAAGAAGCAAACTATAATACTTGATCATCAAGACATGAAAATTAGATAACAACTAAAAATTGGGCGAAACTTCAGATATATTGATCTTGTAAAACAATGAGGTTACCAATACCAACCACTGCTGAAAGTGTGAAACTCAAATAGTATGTGAAACACTCAAAGCTTACGACCAAAAAAAACACACACCCATGGAACTTACCCCTTTATTACAAGAGTAACCATCACCTGACCATTGTCTACCATTACAAGGGACAGAATGGCTTCTTTCAACTGAGACAATATAAGCACAAAGAAGATAAGACCCATTTTTAATGAATCCCCCATGTCGATGGTAGTTGTAAAGAATAAGAAATGAAATTTCCAATAGACAGGATACGCCTACCAGCAAAATCTTGCAAAGCAAAAGGATTTGCACCAGAGCACGCTTCCGAAGTTAAAAAAGAGGTATCAATATCTAACAAGCCGGTATTGCCAACTCCAGATTGTCCTGAACAGGATACCTGATACTCATTCGTATAGCATTGTAAAGGAAAAACACCATTCGGAGAATATGATTCTACAGAATGGGAATAAACATTTTCAAAACTATCAATTTTTCCATTGTTGAGTTGATTATGGATATCACTTGAAGGTCCAAACACTGCTCCGCAACATTCCTCACTCGACAACACAGCTTCATTTTTTAGGGCCATGCACCTCTTTTCCCACTGCACTCACAAAGAAAAAAACAACAACTGATCAACAACTACATTATTATTAGTGATATAGCTCACTTAGCTTTGTAATTACTTTGTAATTCTTTAATTTCTGTACATTCGTCTGTATCAGATAGCTTCTTATTTTTCTGTTAGTTTGTTTAGATGTTAGTTAGATGCTGACTCAGATTTGAGTCCTCTCGTTTGCTCTATAAATAGAGCTCTTCTCTATCATTCTCACAACCTGAATATTCAGTTAAATCAATGGCTCTTTCTCTGATTTTCTCTCTCTCACACATCATGGTCCACACCTGCTGTTCCCACTGTTCCAGCTGTCACTCATTCTTTTCCTTTCTTTGTCCAAGACATGTCACCACACCATAATTTATCTTCTGCCACTCCAAGTGCTGATGAATCGAGTACTCAGCATGTTGAAACACCAAATTCCCAAAATGCTCATGCACCAAGTTCTCCTACTGCAAAATCATCTCCTAGTCAGTCACACTGTCCTATACAGTCCAATACATCAGGTTCAGCATCCTCCTTTACACCTAGTCATACAAATTTAGCCCCTTACTGAAACTCACCATCTCCCTCACAGTTGGATAGTTCTCTTGTCTCCACATCATCTTCTTCTCCTGAGTCTTCTACTTCAGAATTTTTACCTACATCTCCTCTTACACCTACTTCTCTTGTACATTCTATTCAAACCAGATCAAAGACATTAGCTAGAGCTCAAGCTCTTCTCACTCACATTGAGCCTACCAGTCAAACAGGCGCTGAGCAGTCCACCTTGGCTCGAGGCTATGAAAGTTGAATATAATGCTTTATTAGCTAACCAGACTTGGACTCTTGTTCCTCTTCCTCCTAATAGGTCTGCCATAGGATGCAAATGGGTATTCAAACTTGAGGAAAATCATGATGGATCTATCAATAAGTATAAAGCAAGGCTGGTTGCAAAGGCTTTCCACCAACAACCTGGGTTTAATTACTGTAAAGAACCACTTCAACCCAAAACCTTAAGGTGTTAGGTGAGGGTCTTTTTAGTGATTTATATTAATCTCTAACACACCCCCTCACACAAGAGCCCTTTGGGCTTGAAGTGTGGATATTGCACAGGCCCAATTTTTGGTTTACCTTTTTGTGCTTTGATTTAATTCCACTAGAAAGTGGGAGGCGGTGAGGATCGAACTCGTGACCTTATGGCCACTGAAGCTCTGTTACCATGTAAAGAACCACTTTTTAGTGATTTATATTAATCTCTAACAATTACAACGAGACATTCAGCCCTGTTGTTCGAACAGTAACAATTCGGATTATGCTTACTCTGGCTCTCACTTATGGCTGTACTCTTAAGCAATTGGATGTCAATAATGCCTTCTTAAATGGTGATCTTGAAAAGGAGGTGTACATGATTCAACCCAAGGGATTGAACATCAACATCAACATCAACAACACCTTTATCCCAAATTAATTGGGGTCGGTGGTAGATGAACCCACATGAAAGATACAAAACGGTTGAAAAAAAGTAAAAAAAAATAAAAAATAAAAAATAAATAAATAAATAAATAAAAATACACAAATAAAATAATAAAATAAAATAAAATGAAATAAAAATATATGTATATATAAATAAATAAAAGTAAAAAAGAAAGGGACAAGAAGAAGTGGGGGAAATGAAGGGGAAAAGGACTAAAAAAGGACCATCTGGAACATAGGAATAACAGCGAGTCTAACCCTCCACCATACTTATAGCTTTTCTCCATTCCTTTCTAAGACATACTGTCCGCCAATCTATATCCCACTCCATTAAATCTTGTTTTACTACTTTCCCCCAAGTAAGCTTCGGCCTACCTCTGCTTCTTTTTGTGTTTAGCTCTTGGTAACAAACTTCTGTTCTTACAGGAGCATCCATGGGTCTTCTCATCACGTGCCCAAACCACCTCAATCTATGTTCTCTCATCTTCTCGGCTACCGGTACTACTCCGACCTTTCGTCGAATATCTTCATTTCTTATCTTATCCATCCTTGTGTACCCACACATCCACCTTAACATCCTCATCTCTGCTACTCCCATCTTATGCTCATGTTGCCTATGTGCTGGCCAGCATTCCGCTCCATATGCATTGCCGGTCGTACTGCCGTTTTATAGAATTTTCCTTTTAACTTCAGGGGAATTTTGCGGTCACACAAAAATGCAGATGCACTACGCCATTTCATCCACCCTGCTCTGATTCTGTGATTTACATCCTCATCAATCTCTCCACCATTTTGTAAAATGGAGCCCAAGTATTTAAAAGCATTTTTTTTGGGTACCTCTTGACCATTTAGATGCACAGGTTCTTGGTCCTCATCTTGTACCAGAGAAAACTCACACTTCAGATACTCAGTCTTGCTTCGACTTAATGTGAATCCTCTGGATTCCAATGTGCTTCTCCACAATTCAAGTTTTCTATTAACACCCTCCTTGCTCTCATCAATAAGCACAATATCGTCTGCAAAAAGCATACACCATGGCACTTCCTCTTGAATATCTTTTGTTAGTTCATCCATAACTAAGGCAAATAGGTAAGGACTTAGAGCCGACCCTTGGTGTACACCTACCGTGATAGGAAAATAACTTGATGATCCGTTACAAGCTTTTACACATGTAGTAGCCCCATTATACATATCCTTGATTGCCTTTACATACTTTAATGGAACCTTTTTCTTCTCCAGGACCCACCATAAAACTTTCCTTGGAACCCTATCGTATGCTTTCTCAAGGTCTATGAACACCATATGCAAGTCCTTCTTCTTTTCTCGGTATCTTTCCATTAGTTGTCGCATCAAGAAAATGGCTTCCATGGTACATCTTCCTGGCATAAATCCAAATTGATTTACAGAAACCTTGGTATCTCTCCTCAAGCGATGTTCAATAACCCTCTCCCACAGCTTCATAGTATGACTCATTAGCTTAATGCCTCTATAGTTTGAACAATTCTGTATATCTCCCTTGTTTTTGTAGATAGGCACAATCATACTTTTCCTCCATACATCAGGCATCTTATTCGTCTGGAGAATCTTATTAAAAAGATTGGTCAACCATTTTATTGCCACATCCCCCAGGCCTCTCCACACTTCAATAGGGACACCATCAGGCCCCAAGGCTTTATTAGTCTTCATCCTCTTTAAAGCCTCCTTAACTTCATGTGTATTAATTCTGCGTACAAATCTTCTATTCATATCATCATACGCGTCCTCTAAGTCCACCTCGCTTGTATTTCCATCCCCATTAAACAGCTTGTTGAAGTATTTCAACCATCTTTCATTTACATCTTCATCTCTCACCAGAAGTTTTTGATTTTCATCCTTGATGCATCTAAGACTCTAATAAATCACTGGTTTGCAAACTTAACAAGGCTCTTTATGGTCTAAAACAGGCTCCAAGAGTCTGGTTCAATAAACTAAATAGTTCTCTTATTTCTTTCGGCTTCAACGCCAACTGTTGTGATCCTTCATTGTTCACTCTTCGATCTTCCACAAGATGCATCTATGTTCTTATCTATGTTGATGACATCATAGTGACTGGAACTGGTCCCTTTTTCATTGCTCAGCTTGTCTCACAACTTCATTCTCTGTTTTCTCTCAAGGACCTGGGTAATCTTGATTATTTTCTTGGTGTTGAAGTCCAAAGGATTTCCTCAAATTCTCTGATGTTGTCTCAGTCTAAATACATTCGCGATTTGCTCACTAGAGCTTTTATGCAAGAAGCTAAAGGCATCTCTTCTCCTAAGCCAAGTAGCTGCAAACTTTCTCGGGCTGGTTCTCATTACTACCCTGATCCCCATCACTATAGACCTGTTGGTGCTCTCCAATATGCCACTATTACTAGACCTGACATCAGTTATGCAGTGAATAAAATTTGTCAATGTATCGATCAACCATTAGAGAAGCAATGGGCTGTTGTCAAAAGAATCCTACGCTACTTGAAGGGGACTGTTTCTTTTGGTTTGCAGCTCAACACAGCCTATTCTACTAGTGTTTTGTCTCTCACAACGATTTGTGATGTTAATTGGGCATCAAATCCTGATGACAGATGCTCAACATCTGGTGCCAACATATTTCTTGGTCCTAACCTTGTATCATGGTGGTCCAAGAAGCAAATTGTGGTTGCTCGTTCTAGCACAAAAGCTAAGTATCGCAGTATAGCCACCACTTGTACTGAAATCCTATGGATCCATTCTCTTCTTAGGGAACTTCATATCCCTTTAGCTACTCCTCAGTGCTTTGTGACAATATGAGCACAGTGGCTCTTACTCGTAATCATGTTCTCCATGCCCGCACGAGGCATATGGAGCCTGATATCTTCTTTGTCTGTGAACGTGCCCTCAATAAGGAATTGGTGGTGACACATATTCCTTCCTCTGATCAAGTTGCTAATACACTGACAAAGCCTCTCTCCCGTGCTCGCTTTGCTGAACTACGATCCAAACTCAAGGTCTTGGATAGTTTATCCAAGCCTCCTTGAGTGGGAGGGTATTAGTGATACAGCTCACTTAGCTTTGTAATTCTTTAGATTCTATTTCTGTACATTCGTCTGCATCAGATGGCTTCTTATCTTTGTGTTAGTTTGTTTAGATGTTAGTTAGATGCTAGTTAGATGCTGACTCAGATCTGAGTCCTCTCGTTTGCTCTATAAATAAAGCTCTTCTGTATCATTCTCACAACCTGAATATTCAGTTAAATCAATGGCTCTTTCTCTAATTCTCTCTCTCTCTCTCTCACTCAAACTCTGATAATTATAAATCAGAGATTTTGTTTTAAATTTCCCTAAAGCTCCGAAAACATATAAAATAAGATTGATATAATGTTTACAGCACCTTAGCTAAATCATCGTTAGAAACCTTAAATGCGTCCAACTGATCCATGGCGCCACCATATTTCCAGAAGAAGTGCTTCAAATTTTTCACATGTTCAACACTTGCTAGGTGACGAATCACATTAGCACTGCCACAAGAACAAATTAAAAATTACAGTCTAGCTAAAGGAAATCTTGACTAACTTCCATTTGAAATTGAATTGCAGAAAACAAAATTCAATACCAGGCAAAGGAACTAGAGCGCTCTTGGATATCTTGGTCACAGAAAACACACCACAAGCAATTGCGAGAAGAAAGTTGGGAATTGAGAGGGCTAGGGGTGTTCAGGAAGACGCGAACATCAGAGAGTTTGTTTCGGAAACGAGAGAGGAAGGTGGAGAGGGATTTCTTGTGGTTTGGGAAGTACTTGTGTCGGAGACCATGGTCGTGATTTATATTGCAGACCTTACAGAACTCAAACTCAATGTTCTTCTTCCTTGTTGCTGCTCTCCTTCTCTTGATCTCAGATTGCTCCCCCATCATCATGGTCACAGGGCTAGCATCCAACCCAGTGTCAAATGCTTTTAACTGTAACACTAACCATGTTAGTTGAACTGGAAAATGAAAGCTTCACTAGACAAAATAATAGTTCTAAAGCTCAGAATTAAGATGTACAAAAATATTTGAGCAAAACAGTGATATATATTTCTGAAAAAGAAGATGCGAATTTGTGTAACAATATCTTTTAAGAATCACTATAAACAGTATGGATTCTAAGTCTATGTAAGGGGGACATTTTGATTTCTGAATAAAATTTTCTTTTACAGAATCGTCTTTTTCATAGCAACAATTTCAAATTCCAGTCTATGGTACAATAATATAGCAGAAACATGTTTAGCAAATTGTGAATTTAGAGCAAGTGATTTATCCCAGTCAGTTTGATATCCCTTTAAACTTGTGGCTAAAAATTCAAGGATGGGTTCGTCATGAAGTTTTTCATATAAAGCACATCCCAGAATTTTTTACCCCATTTTAAAAAAGGACACCAAGCTGAACCTTAGAATAGTGAGATTTGTATAGTCTTTTACCAAGTCAGAAAGATATCAACAGGAATCAAAATTGAAATTCACAATTCATTAGCAAAAAATTTGGTGATGCAAAATAATAACTAGTTTTATTGAAAAAAGGTTTCTGTATATTGATATTGAATAAATTACATGAGTGTGTATTTATACAAGAAAGAATCGCTAAGAATGACTCAGCGATGACTAATCAATTCTAATAAATCACAATCAATTCTAATCAATCCTAATTAATAGGAAATAAAAACGGAAACATATTTGAATTCTGATTTTCTACACTCCCCCTCAAGTTGGGAGATAAATGTTGATCATTCTCAACTTGCCAATCAAGTCTTCGAATGCTGGACGGTGTAGGCCCTTGGTAAGGATATCTGCAGTTTGCTCTTTGGTTGGAACATATATCATACGCACACTTCCATCATCTAATTTTTCTTTGATGAAGTGACGATCAACTTCCACGTGCTTTGTTCGATCATGATGCACAGGATTTTGAGCAATGCTAACAGCTGCCTTGTTGTCACAATATAGTTTTATTGGTAGGGAATATGAAATCTTCAACTCTTGAAGAAGTCTTCTCAACCATATTCCTTCACAAACTCCATGAGCTAAAGCTCGAAATTCTGCTTCAGCACTACTTCTTGCAACCACTGTTTGCTTTTTGCTTCTCCAAGTAACAAGATTTCCCCACACATAGGTGCAATAGCCTGAGGTAGATCTCCTGTCTACTGATGAGCCTGCCCAATCTACATCAGTGTAGATTTCAATTGTCCTTTTATACTCCTTTTTAAAGAATAATCCTCTTCCTGGAGTGTTCTTGAGGTATCTAAGCACCCCATAGACTGCACTAAGATGCTTCTCCATGGGTTAGTGCATGAATTGACTAATCATACTCACCGCAAAGGCAATGTCAGGACGCGTATGAGATAAGTAAATTAGTTTACCAACCAATCGCTGATATTGTTCTTTATCCACCTCATTCCCATCTTCAATACTTAACTTGGTATTAGGTTCCACATGTGTCTCAGCAGGCTTACACCTTAACATTCTTGTTTCCAACAAAAGATCTAGAACATATTTCTTTTGTGTGAGAGTGATGCCTGTTTTTCTCCTAGCAACTTCCATACCAAGGAAATATTTGAGAGTGCCAAGATCTTTGAGTTCAAATTGAGCTGCTAGAAATTTCTTCAAGGTGTTCAATTCCTCAATATCATCACCTGTAAGAATTATATCATCTACATATACAATAAGAATAGCAATTTTACCATCCTTAGAATGTTTGTGGAAGAGAGTATGATCAGTCTGTGCTTGAATGAAGCCTCTTTTTTTGACTGCTTGTGTGAATTTGTCGAACCATTCTCTTGGAGACTGTTTCAATCCATATAAAGACTTTTTTAGTTTACACACTGATCCATTTCCCTTTTCAAAACCAGGTGGAGGATCCATATAGACTTCTTCATGTAAGTCACCATTTAGGAATGCATTCTTCACATCTAACTGTTGCAGAGGCCAATCTAGGTTGGCAGCAAGAGATACGAGAACTCGGATGGTATTGACTTTAGCAACCGGAGCAAAAGTCTCATGATAATCTATCCCATGAGTCTGAGTGAAACCCTTTGCAACCAATCTTGCCTTGTATCTGTTGATGCTATTATCTGCATTGAATTTTATTGTAAACACCCATTTGCATCCTACTGCCTGTTTTCCCTTGGGTAGGGTCACTATCTCCCAAGTTCCATTTCTTTCTAAAGCATTCATTTCTTCAAAGACAGCATCCCTCCATTTTTTATCATCGAGAGCATCATGTATATTTCTCGGTATCTTTGTACTATCCAACATAGTATTGAAAGCACGGAACCCTGGGGACAACTTTCCATATGAAATGTGATTAGAAATAGGATGAGTAGTACAAGATCGAGTACCTTTTCTGAGAGCAATAGGCAAGTGTAGATCATTTTCACCATGGCACTCAAGTGTTAGGGTGCTGGAACTAGAACATGGTTCAGAATCCTGGCAGTGTAGAGGCTCTGGGTTATTCAAACTTTGAGGAGGCTTTCGCCTGCTATAAACTTGTCCCCATTTTGAGGAGGCTCCTGACGATGAGGATTCTGTAGCTCCCCCTGTTTCCAAAAGTAGAGGTAATACTGTGGCATCAGCAGGTTCCCATGACTGATCTTCATCTACTCCTATAGACTCCCCCTGAAGAGAAGTCACGGGGAAGAAAGGATCATTCTCAGAAAAGGTGACATCCATAGAGACAAAGACCTTACGAAGAGAGGGTGAATAACACTTATAGCCACGTTGAGTAGGAGAATAACCAATAAAGGCACACTGGAGAGACTTAGGATCAAGCTTAGACCGTTGATGGGAGGGAATATGGACAAATACAACGCAACCAAATAACTTGAGAGGTAAGGAGGAGACGCCTCGGAAGGAAGGGAAGGTACGAAAAAGACTAAAGAGAGGAGACTGAAATTTTAGAATGCGAGATGGCATTCGATTTATCAGATACGTGAGAACTGCCTCTCCCCAAAGATATTTAGGAACACTCGTGGTAAACATAAGAGCCCGAGCAACTTCAAGGAGATGTCGGTTTTTTCTTTCCGCAACTCCGTTTTGTTGGGGTGTGTCAGGACACGAGCTTTGGTGAAGGATGCCATGTTGGGAAAGATATTCTCCAAGAATAGAGTTAAAATACTCTTTGCCATTATCTGTACGAAGAATTTGTATAGCAACTTGGAATTGGGTTTGAACCATGACATGAAATTTTGTAAACACGGATGCTGCATCGGACTTGTCCTTTAGAAGATATACCCAACAAACTCAGGAATGGTCATCAATGAAGGTAATGAACCATCGAGTACCTGAAATATTTTTAACACGGGCTGGACCCCATATGTCACTATGAATTAAGGAAAATGAGGAAGAGTCATGGTGAACTTTAGAAGGATAATGAGCACGAGTATGCTTGGCAAGTTGACAAATATCACAAGAAAACAAACTAGGACTTTTATTAATAAATAAGTTTGGTAACAACTTCTGAAGATAAATAAAATTTGGATGGCCTAGCCTACGATGCCACAGCATAACATCATTACATGAATCAAAAGGAAACATAGAGTTTTTTTCTACGAAAACAGCTTCATGAGTCACATCCTCCTCAAAGTAGTAAAGTCCACCATCCTCTCTAGCACTGCCAATCATCCTCTCCGAGTCCTGTTCCTGAAAAACACAACCATGTGGAAAGAATTTAGCAAAGCAATGCAACTCAGAAGTCAGCTTGCTTATGGAAATGAGATTACAAGACAGAGAAGGAACATAAAGAACTGATGTCAAATTAATCAGCTCAGAAAGTTTAATGGTTCTGTGTCCCGCAATCTGGGAAAAACTGTCATCGGCGATCTTGACCCTTGAGGGTTCAGAATATGGAGTGTATGAATAAAACAAGCCAAGATTACCTGTCACATGATCAGAGGCTCCAGAATCACGGATCCAATGATTTTGACTATCAACATGGAAAGTTGTACCTTGCTGGACCACATTACTAGTGGCCTTAAGAGGTTGAGTCAAAAGTCTCTGAAGTTGTTCAAACTGAGTCTTGCTAAGAAAGACACCATCAGAGTCAGAGGATGCATGAGGCTCATCAACCTTGTCATCAGTAGAGATCTGATATGCACGACCTTTATTTTGTCCTTTGGGCTTCCAATTTGCAGGTTTCCCGTGGATTTCCCAACATTTCCCACGAGTATGACCTATTTTATTGCAGTGGGTGCACCATGGATGACCATCCTGTTTTGATTCTCCAAGAGGAACGGTCAATGGTACGGTTGGCAGCTAATGCAGACATATCATCAGACTTATCAAGCGACTCTTTTTCTCTCAGCATAACTCTCCGTCTACTGGCTTCTCTACGAACTTCAGCAAAGGCGTCAGCAAGTGAGGGTAACGGTCACTGCCCTAATATTTGACCACGAACCTCATCAAGATCTCGGTTGAGTCCGGCAAGGAAATCATACAGTCTTTCCTTCTCCAAGTGTTTTTTAAATTGGGTATTAGCTTCCAATCCTTTAAGATCGGATGCATAATAAAGATCCAATTCCTGCCATAAATTTGTTAGTGCAGTAAAATATTCAGTAATAGTCATACCCCTTTGACGAAAGTCTCTCAACTTATTTCTCAGTTCAAAGACTTGAGAGGTATTCTCCAGATCTGAATAATTTTGTTGAACAGCATCCCAAATTTCCTTGGCAGTATTGAAGAACAGATAGGTTTGGCCAATCTGTGGTTCCATGGAATTAGTCAGCCAAGCCATGACCAAGGAATTATTAATCTCCCAATTGTCATAATCAGGAGAATCCTCAGTAGGTTTCTTAATTTTTCCCTCAAGATAGCCCATCTTACCCTTTGCCCGGATGACCAACTTAACCGATTGAAACCATTGCAGAAAATTCTTACCGTTCAACCGGTGATTAGTGATCTGCAAACCTAAGTTGTCTCCAGAGGG